GTACATATTTTGGGGGTACAGGTGATATTTTTGTACATCTATTTGGGTTACGTGTATATAGTGTGTAATAAGAATCAGGGTAATTGGGATATCCATTACCTCAAACATTTATCTTTTCTGTTTTGGGAGCATTACAATTCTTCTAGCTATTTTGAAATTGATGATAAATTCTTGATTAACTATAATTTCCCGACTGTACTATTGAATTCTAGAACGTACTCCTTCTGTTTAACTATTTTTGTGCCCCCAAGTCCTTTCACATATTCTGCTTCTCACTGGGAACTCATTGATAGTAAGATCAAGTCCTGACCTTTGGGCACATTTCCAAAATCTGCTTCCTCTCTCAGTTGCCACTTTATTTTATTTATTTATTTATTTTTTTGAGACAGAGTCTTGCTTTGTTGCCCAGGTTAGAGTGAGTGCTGTGGCGTCAGCCTAGCTCACAGCAACCTCAAACTCCTGGGCTCAAGCAATCCTGCTGCCTCAGTCTCCCGAGTAGCTGGGACTACAGGCATGTACCACCATGCCTGGCTAATTTTTTCTATATATATTAGTTGGCCAATTAATTTGTTTCTATTTATAGTAGAGACAGGGTCTCACTCTTGCTCAGGCTGGTTTTGAACTCCTGACCTCGAGCAATCCGCCCGCCTTGGCCTCCCAGAGTGCTAGGATTACAGGGGTGAGCCACTGAGCCCGGCCCAGTTGCAAATTTAAATTGGTGGAGATGAGGATTTCCTATCTGGGTTTTCAGTCACAGAAATTCATTCCAGGTTTCTTATTGCTATTTATTTATTTATGAGACAGAGTCTTACTCTGTGGCCTGGGCTAGAGTGCTGTGGCGTCAGCCTAGCTCACATCAACCTCAGACTCCTGGGCTCAAGCAATCCTTCTGCCTCAGCCTCCCGAGTAGTTGGGACTACAGGCATTCACCGCAATGCCCGACTAATTTTTTCTATATATATTAGTTGGCCGATTAATTTCTTTATAGTAGAGACAGGGTCTCACTCGCTCAGGCTGGTTTCAAACTCCTGACCTTGAGCAATCCGCCCACCTCGGCCTCCCAGAGTGCTAGGAGCCACTGGGCCCGGGCTTGTAAGAAATTTATAATTAGCTTGTCACATTGTATTAATACAAAAAAGCCGGCTGGAATTTTGATGGTGATTGTGTTGAATCTGTGGATATTAATAATTTGGGGTAGGATTAACTTATTAACAATGTTGTATCTTCTGGCCTATGAACATGGTGGTTAGGGTTGGGAGAAGATGGCACACACCTAAAATGGAGCAGCGAAGTTTTTAGTTGTCTGGGAGAACCATGAAGCTTCTTTGCTTAAGTCAGAGAGTAAGAGCAGCTCTGGTGATGGTAATAGAGAAAGAGATACTTCTGCACTTCTGCTGGTGCCATGAAGAGGTAGAGAGAGGAAGTAAGAAATGAGTTCAGGGTAAAGGAAATTTGCCTTTGCAGTTGTAGTGGGAAGGAAAGGAGACTAATGCTGATTGCACTTCTGCACACGGAGCATTTTCCTTGTTAGTTTGCACACGTTGTTGGATGTGGCTCTTGTAACATCCCCTGTGTTAGTTCTTAGTTTGTGCTTACACATGGGAAACTGCATTTGGATATGAGTGATATGCCCAGAGCCACATAGCTAGTAAGTGGTAGAGTTAGCTAGTTTTTTTTTTTTTAATTTTTATTTTATTGAGACAGAATCTCACTTTGTTGCCCAAGTTACAATGAGTGGCGTGGCGTCAGCCTAGCTCACAGCAACCTCAAACTCCTGGGCTCAAGTGATCCTCCAGCCTCAGCCTCCCGAGTAGCTGGGACTACAGGCCTATGCCCGGCTAATATTTTCTTTCTTTTTTTTTTAAATTTTTATCTTTATTTTTCTCTTTTTTTAAATTAGATAGCTTCTAGTAAACAATATAATTTTTTCTATATATATTAGTTGGCCAATTAATTTCTTTCTATTTATAGTAGAGACGGGGGTCTCGCTCTTGCTCAGGCTGGTTTCGAACTCCTGACCTCCAGCAATCCGCTGGCCTCGGCCTCCCAGAGTGCTAGGATTACAGGCATGAGCCACTGCGCTCCGCCTAGTTTTTTCTTTTTAAGAGATAGGTCTTGTTAGGGGGGCGGGTACATACATACATAATGAGTGAGATGTGCACCATCTGGGGGATGGTCATGCTGGAAACTCAGACTTGTGAGGGGAGGGGGGAAAGGGCATTTATTGAAACCTTAAAATCTGTACCCCCATAATATGCCGAAATAAAAAAAAAAGAGATAGGTCTCACTATATTGCCCAGGCTGATGTCAGAATTCCTGGCTTCAGGCGATCCTCCTACCTCAGCCTCCTGAGTAGCTGAGATTACAGGCTCAAACTATCTCTCCTAGCTAATTAAAAAAAAAAAAAATTTCTTTTTTGTTTTTTTTCTTTGAGACTGAGTCTCACTCTGTTGCCCTGGCTAGAGTGCCATGGCATTAGTAACTCACAGCAACTTCAAATTCCTGGGCTCAAGCGATCCTGCTGCCTCAGCCTCCCAAGTAGCTGGGACTACAGGCATGTGCCACCGTGCCCGGCTAATTTTTTCTATTTTTGGTAGAGACGGGGTCTTGCTCTTGCTCAGGCTGGTCTCCAACTCCTGAGCTCAAATGATCCGCCCACCTCTGCCTCCCAGAGTGTTAGGATTAGAGGCCTGAGCTACTGTGCCTGGTCTAAAAAAATGTTTTGTTTTTTTTTTTTTAGAGATGGGATCTTGGTGTGTTGTGCAGAGTGGTCTCAAACTCCTGGCCTCATGTGATTCTCCCTGCTCAGCCTCCTGAGTAGCTGGGATTATAGGCACAAGCCACTGTGCCCAGCTGGAGTTAGCATTTGAACCCAAATTCTACTTTACTATAAACTGAGATCTTCTTACTCAATATGTAAATTTATGAATGTATGCCAGCAAGTGTACCAGGCTGCTGCTGTTCAAGGATCTGCCTCCTTGTATCACATGCTTTATTTTAAATGTTATGACTGGCTGGGTGCGGTGGCTCACGCTTGTAATCCTAGCACTCTGGGAGGCCAAGGCGGGAGGACTTGGCCAACTAAAAATATATAGGAAAAACTAGCTGGGTATGGTGGCGCATGCCTGTAGTCCCAGCTACTCTGGAGGCTAAGGCAGAAGGATCGCTTGAGCCCAGGAGTTTGAGGTTGCTGTGAGTTAGGCAGGCGCCATGGCACTGGGGAACAGAGTGAGACTGTCTCCAAAAAAAAAAAAATGTTATGACTCAAAACAATGCTGCTATTCTTCTACTTTAAAGAATTCTCAAGCCGGGTGTAGTAGAGACCCCGTCTCTACTAAAAATAGAAGGAAATTAATTGGCCAACTAAAAGTATATAGGGGGCCAGGCGAGGTGGCTCACGCCTGTAATCCTAGCACTCTGGGAGGCCGAGGCAGGCGGATTGGTCGAGGTCAGGAGTTCGAAACCAGCCTGAGCAAGAGCGAGACCCTGTCTCTACTATAAATAGAAAGAAATTAATTGGCCAACTAATATACATAGAAAAAATTAGCCGGGCATGGTGGCGCATGCCTGTAGTCCCAGCTACTTGGGAGGCTGAGGCAGTAGGATCACTTGAGCCCAGGAGTTTGAGGTTGCTGTGAGCTAGGCTGACGCCACGGCACTCACTCTAGCCTGGGCAACAAAGTGAGACTCTGTCTCAAAAAACACAACAAAACAAAAGAATTCTCTTGATTTGGTGTGTTTTGTTTTCCAGGTCTAAAGCAATCCTCCCGCCTCAGCCTCCCAAAGTGCATGAGCTGCTGTGGCTGACCAGGATTTACTTCTGATGTGCATGTACTTTTCAGCAGTGATTTAGGCTATTCACATCATATCTTTGATTTTGTCTGTTTTTCAAGTGTTTGGTTATATTCTCTATATGGTTATAAATGATATTATTATGGCTTGAATGTCCTCTCCAAAGCACGTGTTGAAACTTAATCCCCAGCGTAACAATATTAAGAGACAGTGCCTTCAAGAAGTGATTGGGTAATGAGGACTCTACCTCATGAATGGGTTAATCCATTGGAGTCATCACAAGAGTAGTGGGTCTGTTATAAGAGCCAATTGTTGTGCTCTAACCCCCTTGGCATATGCTGCCCCATGTCATCTCAGGACTCTGCAGAGTCCCCACTGGCACGGAGGCCCTCACAAAATGTGGCCCTGGGACCTTGGATTTCCCTGCCTCTAGAACTGTGAAATGAATTTCCTTTCATTATAAGTCACCCTATCTTGGGTATTCAGTTATAGCAACAGCAAACGGACATGATATCTTTAAGGCATTGCCTTTCCTTGCCTTGTCTGTGGGGCCTTTGTGTTCTAAGTGAGGCATGTGGGCGAAGTCTACACACACAGCTGCTGTCTGCGGGCCTGTTTTTTTTTTTTAATTTTTAATTTTTTAAAATTTTTACCATTTTTTTTTGTGAGTACATAGTTGCTTAAAATCAGTGAATTTTTAGGTAGGTCAGGTTTAGGTAATTGAAGGGCCTTTATAATGAGTTTATATTGTCTAGATCCAACGTATGCTGTAAACACAGTCTGGAGCAAGATGGGAAATAACATCTTTCTAAAGACAGGCTTAGAAATTCTAATCCAGTAAGTTAAGATGTTTCCCTTCTCTGGTAGCAGAGCTGATTGATACCTGGCTGCTAGGCCACCATTCACAGGGATAGCCATGAAAACAGGATACAGACCACCCAAAACAAGACCAACCAGTCCACTCAGTTACTGCACAGGTTTCACAGTTCAAATCACCTGTGGTCAAAGGTACACTTACAAAACTCGTGTAAGCTACCTGTGCTGTGAAAAATGGGATCACTGCCATTGGTAAGCCAGCAGCGATATGAGCCTGTGTCACATTCAAGATGCGTCGAAAAAGACTGTTTGCTGTTAGGCCACAGAGGGCAGCATTAAGTGATCCAATATATGCTGATCCATGTTCAAGTAAATTCCTTTCTGATTCTGGAAGCTGGTTAATTTTTCTGAGTATGATACTGAAAATTGTTGGGTTTTCCTCACTAGTATCATATTGTTTATGATTTTCCATCTTGAGCCTTATGCTCTCCTTCTCCCAGGAGCCGCTGCCGCCTCCAATTTTCCTCAACCACGCCGGGGCTCACTGCAACCGTTGTACAACCCGACTGGACACAGCCATCTTTCTGCGGGCCTGTTGATAAGTGCTAGAAGAGTCATAATCCAAGTGTTGGGGCTTCATGGGTGTGTGGGGGAGACCAGGTATGATTGTGGGTATTGGGAGACGTAGGTCCTTTGAGCTGGACTTCATGGGGATGAGGTGCAGTGAGTGGGGGAAGGGGGACAGTCATTTGAGGTTGGCTTTGAAGGATGAGGGACACCGGGGTTGGGGGAATGATGCACCAGTTGGAGGGAGCTGTGCAAACATGGCCGAGTGCTAGGTCAGGGTGGCTGGTGTACTGCAGAAGCAGACCTGCCGCCCTGGGCTTGGGGTGTTCAGAGGGGAGTCTGGAGAGTGACTTGGAACTGTGGTCTAACCTGAGTTATGGAGGTCTGGCTGTCGAGTAGGGGATTTGGGCTTAATGTTCTTACTGCTCCTGGCACAAGACTTCTGTCCACCTCTTTTTGCCTTTGGTTTACTTTTGCATATTATTCCCTATGTTCTAGCTGCTCGCTTCTCTATCAGTGCCTTCCCTCTGTCCCTGTTTGAGGGTCTGTCATGTGCCAGGCCTGGGGCTGCCAGGTAAAATACAGTATGCCCAGTTAAATTTGAATTCCAGGTAAACAGCAAATACTTTTTTGGTTAAAGTATACCCTGAATGTTGCCTGGATAAAATACAGTGAAGTGAGTGCTATGCAGAAGTGTGCCAGGGAGGTAAGAGGGAGTGGCAGCTGTCTGGCGAGCCAAGGGAGGTGTCATAAGGAGTCAGCGCTGGAGCTGAGTCCTGAAGTGACGTGTGAACAGTTGTTTCTCAGGCAGGAAGACGGTAAGGGGCTGTTAGGGGTAGGACAGTAGGAGCAAAGTGTGAATATTTGAAAGTGAGTGGCTTTGTATGCGTGTAAAACTGAGATTGGGGGTCATGGAGCTGGGATTTGAAGGTGTTCGGCCTGGGACAGTGAGGCTGTGTGGACGCAGGGTGGCATGGGGAGGAGCTGCTGTGGCCCAGAAGGACTGAAGGCAGAGTGAGCGGCAAGAGGCTGGCAGAGCGGCAGGCTGGCAGAGGCTGGTCCAGCTGACTGCTTCCCTGACACAGAGAGAGGCCAGTTAGGGTTGGCCGGGTAGTGGGGTCAGGGAGGGGGGATGCTTCCTCTAGTCAACAAGAGGCATCCTCGCCATTTTTTAAATGTCTCAAGATATAGTGGACAGGCCTTGTCTGGCCTCACAGTACAGGCCACCCCTTGAGGTAAAGAAAGCAAGCTCCAGGGAGCTCTGGCGGTGCGGTGGGCTGACTTTTGCAGGTCACCCTATTCAGAGCCCTGCTCTAGCTTTTGCCAGCTGTGGAAGCTTCAGGTTCACCCTTTCACGGTGGGCCTGATGACAGTACCCGCCTCCTGCGCTGAAAGAGAACTGAGTGAAGTGATGACTGTGGAACTGCCGGGACCCTGCCGGCACTCAGTGGGCCCTTGGGATTTCGTTTCTTTCTTTCCCTCTTGCTAGTGGGGTCTCAGAGGGACTGGAGATATTGATCATCCATTTGGGGTTGTCCATCTGTGCTAGGCCAGCTGGGGGCTATAGAAAGAGGTACAGGTAAGCAGTGAGGTTACCTGTGGTTCCTCTCAGATTTCATTCCTTGAGGTATCTCTCCTTTCCTGGGAACTGTGGGTGGAAACCTAAGGGCCTGTGCATAGACTTTTCTTGCTCTTTCAGCTCTCCCAGCTGCCAGAGCTGTGACTTTTTTCACTCAACAGACTGTGCAGATGAGACCCTATTTATGGTGTGGAACAGGAAGACAAATCCTTCCTTTCCAGTTTAAGCCAGTCCCTTTGGCCCATGTTTTAGGTTGTGTAGTTCTTTGTCATGGGGGCTGTCCTGTGTGTTGTAAGATATTTATCAGTATCTTGGCCCCTTACACACTCAGGTTCAGTAGTGCACGCCCCTCCCGTTGTGACAACCAAAACTGTCTACAGACAATGCCGAATGTTCTTTAGGGTGCAAAATTGCCCCCTTCTCCTTGTTGAGTAATGCTGCTTCATTCTCAGTAGACAAAAGGAAAAAGAACTTCTTAAAATTTTTTTTTTTTTTGAGACAGAGTCTCACTTTGTTGCCCAGGCTAGAGTGAGTGCCGTGGTGTCAGCCTGGCTCACAGCAACCTCAATCTCCGGGGCTCAGCGATCCCACTGCCTCAGCCTCCCGAGTAGCTGGGACTACAGGCATGCGCCACCATGCCCGGCTAATTTTTTGTATATATATTTTTAGTTGGTCAATTAATTTATTTCTATTTTTGGTAGAGACGGGGTCTCGCTCAGGCTGGTTTCAAACTCCTGACCTTGAGCAATCCGCCCGCCTCCCAAAAGTGCTAGGATTACAGGCGTGAGCCACCACGCCCGGCCAGAACTTCTTAACATTTTTTTATTAACTTTCTTTTTTTTTTTTTTGAGACAAGAGTCTCACTCTGTTGCCCGGGCTAGAGTGAGTGCCGTGGCATCAGCTTAGCTCACAGCAACCTCAATCTCCTGGGCTCAAGCGATCCTCCTGCCTCAGCCTCCCAGGTAGCTGGGACGACAGGCATGTGCCACCATACCCAGCTAATTTTTTCTACATATATTTTTAGTTGGCCAATTAATTTATTTCTATTTATAGTAGAGACAGGGTCTCACTCTTGCTCAGGCTGGTTTCGAACTCCTGACCTCAAGCAGTCCACCCGCCTCGGCCTCCCAGGGTGCTAGGATTACAGGCATGAGCCACCACTCCTGGACTTACTTTTCCTTTTCACCAATGAAATACTTGTTGAAAAGGACTTTTTACTAAAGTTAATTTGAATTCAAATCTATTTTAACTTGTTTAGAAAGACTTCCTGCCGGACGCGGTGGCGCGCGCCTGTAGTCCCAGCTACCCGGGAGGTTGAGGCAGGAGGATCGCTTGAGTCCAGGAGTTCTGGGCTGTAGTGCGCTATGCCGATCGGGTGTCCGCACTAAGTTCGGCATCAATATGGTGACCTCCCGGGAGCGGGGGACCACCAGGTTGCCTAAGGAGGGGTGAACCGGGCCAGGTCGGAAACGGAGCAGGTCAAAACTCCCGTGCTGATCAGTAGTGGGATCGCGCCTGTGAATAGCCATGCACTCCAGCCTGGGCAACATAGCGAGACCCCGTCTCTAAAAAAAAAAAAAAAAAAGACTTCCTTTGTGCCATTGTCAAAATAAATTCTCAAATTTAAGATTTTAAGCTTTTTACGTTGTTACATTTGAGTCATTAATGAAATATAAAATAAAATATTCAATTTAATTTATTTATTTTTTGAGACAAAGTCTCACTCTGTTGCCCGAACTAGAATTTCATTTTAGATCAAAGTTATAAATGTACAAATATATCAAATTGATGTTTTTAATTAAAACTGCCTGACTGTTAATTTTGTGAATACAGAATTGTGCAAGTTTGTAACTGCCTGCCAAAAGTCTGAGCATAAAGATGTGGTTTGAAGGGGTCCCGAATAAATATTTTCTTTTATAAATACTCAGAAACCTTGGCTGAGAGGGATGGCCAGAGGAACTCAAATTTCTTGCATTCTGGCAGTTTGAACTTTGGGAACCCGTTTGTTTAGAACTAAATCTGGTGAAATCATTTGTGTACTACAGCCAGAAATTCTTTTAGGCTGTCCTTTTCCATCCTTGTCACTTGTCTGGAATGTTAAATTTGTCAGTAGTTTAATGGACTTTTAGCAGCTTGAATTAAAATGAGAGATGATCTCCAAAAATGGATCTGAAGAGGTCTCCGGTGTATGATTAGGTTTTTTTCTGATACTCTGAAAAGTCAGTAAGAGGGAGAAGAATTATATGGTTATAAGTTTGAAAAATCCAACTGTATCTAAATATTGCTCATGTTAAATCTTATGTAGAGTAATAGAAATCATAAATTAGTATGAGTGAGCTTTTCTGTGGCCAAAACAAGTGGAAATAGAGTTTGCTATTTAGCGGCCGTTTGAATTGGTGTTACTGATAATTACCTCCTTTTTCCTATTGGTAGTTGTGGTTCAGTGGAAACGCTCAGACTGTGGGCAAACTGCTTGCTTCCTGCTCTAACCAAAGCTTTTTTCTCCTTTCCAGCCATGTGGATGATTAAGAAAATCAACTGCTTTGGTATTCATGCAGTGTGGCTTCGCACTGGCTGGCTGGGAGCTTATTCTCGTATTAAAACATCCACAGGCCAGGCGCGCTGGCTCATGCCTGTAATCCTAGCTCTCTGGGAGCCGAGGCAGGCAGATCGTTTCAGCTCAGGAGTTCGAAACCAACCTGAGCAAGGGCAAGACCCTGTCTCTACTATAAATAGAAAGAAATTAATTGGCCAACTAATATATATAGAAAATTAGCAGGCATGGTGGCGCATGCCTGTAGTCCCAGCTACTCGGGAGGCTGAGGCAGGAGGATTGCTTGAGCCAGGAGTTTGAGGTTGCTGTGAGCGAGACTGACGCCACGGCACTCACTCTAGCCTGGGCCACAAAGTGAGACTCTGTCTCAAACAACACAACAACAACAAAACATCACAAAGTGTCTTGGCCGCTCATTACTCTCTGGCTCTCCCTTCACGAAGCAAATTCTGGAGAATTCTTTATTCTTTCTCTCCTGCTCAGCTCTTCTCCTGCTCCACTGCAGTCTGACTTGGACTCTCGCCTCCTGGGGCTTGCTGGCCTCTCACCATCACGTCCTGTCCTGGTTAAAAGGCGTTGCTCAGCCTGTGGCCTTTCTCCTGTGGGTTCACCTCCGGCCCCCTTGCTGTGTGGCACACGAAGGAGAGTTGTGAGGGATAGGGTGAAATCAGAGAAGACTGTTTTCCTTCTGTGGCCAGGAAGCGTTTAATGGGGAGTGCACACTGGGTGGGAGAGACAGGGTGGTTTCCTCCTTCTTGGGCTGGAGCTGGAAATGAGGAGAGGTGGTCTGGAGCATCTTTCCTTGCTGAGTCATAATTTGATCATTAATTTTCTGGAAACAGGGAAAACTATCCTACTATAAATGTATTAAATGTTGATGATTTAGGCATAGAATAAATCTGTCTAAAAATAGAAAATACTATCTTATAATAAAACAAGTATTTTAAAATTGTGCCTTCT